CAGGCCAGCATGAGGTCTGGTGTCAGAGCTGAGAAGCACAGAGCACAGGGTATGAGTCCTCTTGTCAGATGAGGTTGACCTCCAGGGAGAGGCTGGGTGGGCAAGCAGCTGCTCTGGGACACTACAGCATTTGGCTTCCTGAGTCACTGATGGCAGCCAAGTGCCATATGCCATACAGTATTAGTTTGTATTTTGTCACACACACACTCCACAATAAAAATATAAAACACTACCATAAGAAGGGGCAGAAAGGAAAAAAACGGAGGGGACAAAGCAGCTCAGGTTATAACAGATACATACGTGGAAATGTCACAAGGGAACTTCCTGTGTAGCTGTTTTATACAAACAAGAATGTCTTTCTTCAAAACCGGAGAACAGGACCGTCACACAGGTCCTGTCTGGGGTTGAGGATATAAGGGAGGGGGTAGGATATAAGGAAAGAGTGTAGGAGGGTGGAGATGGTAGGAATATTACATACACATGCGTGGAAATGGAAAAATGAGACCTGCTGAAACTATTCCAGGGATGGAGGAAGGGCGGATAGAGGAGGATGAGGGAGGGGTGAGTGCCACTATGAGATATTGTAAGAACCTTTGTAAATGTCACAGTGTACCCTACCCCCAGTACTACCATAATAAAATATTAACTACGAACAAAATGGAAAACGTGGCAAAGGGTGTTGGGGGGTGGTTGTTGGAGTCCCAGGGGAGCAGGCTGGTAAAATTCACATCTTGGACCACCACTCCTGCAGCCTCGGATTCAGTGGGTCTCAGGTGCAGCCCAGGAGTCTGCATGGTGCCAGATCCTCACCTGGTTCTGAGGTGTGTGCCTAAGGAATCTGCGTTTTTAAAAACTCCCTCCCTTGGCTGTTTGGGGGAAGTAGTCCTGGGCCTTATTTAATTATCCATGTCTATCCCTGTTTCTCTGTCTGCCTCTGTCTCTCTCCCTCCCTTTCCCTCCCCCTCAGTGATTTTGAGACAGGGTGTTGCTGTGCAGCCCAGGCTGGCCTTGAATTTGTGATTCCCCTGCTCAGCCTCCCAAGTGCTGAACTTAACAGCACACGCTGGCACACCAACTTGGGTCCCCAATTTCTATTCCAGCCAGAGGACCCCTTCAGGTCTCCCCAACTGCTGAGAAAAGTGCCAAACGCCCCCCCGCCCACATACACACAGGGAGCCACACAAGTCCCCTTGCTGCAGCCCCTGCAGGAAGGAACTGGGGTGTCCCTCTTCTCTGACTCCCACTTGGGTCCACTCTCAGCCCCTTCACCTGAGTGAGCAACTCAGCTTTGTACTTCAGTCCCCTCCCAGTGGCCCACTTACAGGGATCACTGGCGCCTCTCTTGCCTCTGCCTCCTTCCTGTTGGGCCAGCAGCAGATTGGGCAGGGTCCTTCCCTGTCATAAACTCCTGAGGGCCACCCCCAGCAGTCGGGAAGCGGGGACTGGTGAACGTCCAAACGCCCCGGCTTCCTTCTCACAGTCGCCCCGCTGGAAAGACTGCAGCTGCAGCTTGGTGCTGGGGTTTTCTGCTCCACAGAGGGATGGAGAGGGGGTGAAGTTGGCAGGGCTGTGTGTGTGGCTGCACTAGGGGCACACACTGCGTATGTGTGCAGCATTGCAGCCTGCACAATGCCACGCCTTCACTGGTGGAATGATTGATGCTCTGGAATTGTCCTCTCTCTCTCTCTCTCTCTCTGTCTCTCTCTCTCTCTCTCTTTCTCCTTCTCTTTCTCCCCCTCTCCCTCTTCTGCTCCCTCTCCCTCTCCCTGACCCTCTCCCTTTCCCTCTCTGTCTTTCTCTCTCTAAAAGGAAGAAAAAGCAATTTCCCAGGTAAGTTCTCTTTGCTTAGAAGTTTTCTTGGGGTCTGGGCTGGGACATGGTGGTTCCAGCTGCCCACCTGGTGGAATGTCTGCAGAGGTGTGTGGGGGTCCACAGATACGAGGCTGCAGGGACAGGGACTAACTGCAGCTCTGGCTCCCACATCTGGATTCAGCTTCAGGGTCTAACAGCGTCCTCCCTGGCTACAAGGAGAAGAAAGCCTGTGGGTGAAGCAGCCACCGGGATGCTTTGGCAAGATGGAAAAGCCTCATTTTCAGGGGCGCCAGGGTACGGGGGCAGTGTGAGTGTGTGTGTGTGTGCAGGTGAGCCATGTGTCCTTACACGTGGGTGAGAGTGGACTGGGTGCATGTCAACAGTACACACTGTGCTGTGGGTGAGATTATGTTGTGTGTGTTTGGGCCCCTGTACTGTGGGCACAGGGTGTGCGTGTGGGGGCAAGTGTACGTGTGTGCCCATGGATATGTGTTGCACAGCACATGTGTATAAGGTTGGCTGAGCCTCTGTTGTGTGTGCAGTCACACGTGTTGGGTATGTGGTGGTAAGGATTTTTAGGTTGTATTTGTGGGTGTACATGCTGTGTGTGTGTGTCTGTGAACACTGGTATATGTAAGGGGAGCTGTGGGTTGTGTGAGGTGTTTGTGACCATGATGTGACTGTGTATGTGGATTTGTGTTGTGTGTGAGCAGGCATGTTGCATGTACACAGGTACACCACACCTGTGTTGATATGTAGAGGTATGTTGCATGTGCATGTCTGTTGTATAGCTGTGCTGCACATGTACAGGGGTGTGCTCTGTGTTGAATCTGCACATGTTGCATGCATGTTGTGTGCACAGGTGTGTTGTGTGTTGCATGTATTGTGTGCAGTGTGTGCACAGGTGTGTTGCATTGTGTACTGTGTGTATGCACAGTTATGTGTTGCATTGTACTGTGTATGCACAGGTGTGTTGCATGTGCACAGGTGTGCTGTGTGTTGTGTATGAACAGTCATGTGTTGCATTGTGTTGTGCATGTACAGGTGTGTGTGCACAGGCGTGTGCTGTGTGTGGCGTATTGCATCTCCACATGTAAATGTTGCGTGTGTTGTGTTGAGTGTGTGCAGGGGTGTGTGCAGACTCCTAGGAGCCACAGCTTCTCCCAAGTCCCTGTCTTGTCCTGGTGTCCTAGTCCTTGCCTCAGAGAGCAGGCTGCAATGTTCTGTAGGGGCAGCAGGCCGGGCAGGAGTAGATGAGCACCTGGCTTGGGAGGGGTGAGTCTCAGTTTCCTCTCCTGCATCATAGAGAGCTGCTGCTGTCTTCTCCAAGTTGTCCTGGGCTGTGCCATACCAACCTCTGCATGTGCCTCAGCCAGACACACTGACAGTTCAAGGGTGGTGTGTGTGATAAGTGTTGTGTGTATTATGCTTGTTGGGTATTGTGCTGTGTTGTATGTGCGTCACTGGCTATGTGTATGTGTTGTATGTTGCATATTGTGTTTGTGTGGCCAGCTGTGTGTACATGTCATGTGTTGTATGTTGTGTGTATGCATGTGTGTACTCCAAGCCTGGGACTGTCTGACCAATCTGGCCTCCTCTGCTTCTGGGATGAATGCCTGACTTGTCCAGCTCCCAACACTGTCCCTTCACCATTGTCCCTAGGAAGCTGGCTGGGGTGGCATCTGGTGTCTCTGTCCCTCTCTGAGCTCATCTCCTCCCCTGGCTCAGCCCAGCCTGTGTCCTCAACCCAGCCTGGCCACCCTCTGTATCGTAGGCCCACCTTCCTGGAGGCAAATGGAGGAAGGAGAGTTCCTCTGAGCTTCAGGGCCTGGCAGGTGACCTTTGGGTGGGTTTTTTTTCTTTTTGCAGCACAGGTCCTCATGCTTGCAGGCAGGCACTCTACCACAATGTCCCTTTGGGATTTAACTTCTGCAGCTGCACCCTTCACCCCCTCAGCTGCAGGCTAGGGTCACATCAGACATCATGGGATATCACAGCACATCATAACCGCAGTAGTCCTCATCCCCCAACAGTCTTCATGGTGTCCAGAACCATCCATCTCCCTCTACGCCCACCAGCCCAGCTCTGGAGCCCCACACGGCATCTGCACCTCAGTGAAAGATCTGGAGTACCTCATATTCACAGCCCCCCAAACACAGCACTCCCCTGGCCCCTGTGGTGACCCCTTTCTCCGTCTTGCCACTCTCCCATGGGTGTCCCAATGGCTTCCCTTCCTCACGTCCTCCCATGCCACCTCAAGAGGCTCCCCAGCCACTATCTGGCCAAGGCATGGCCCTCTCACCTGGACTGTGCGGTGGCCTCCTCACTGGTGGCTCTGCTCTGCAGTCCCCCTTGGACATGTGGGTCCCACAATTTCCAGCGAGACCTTGTAAAGTCACAAATCACGGTCCTCCTCTGCTTAAAGCCGAAAGCCCATCCTTTGCTGCCTGCCCTTTCCACAGGCTCACGAAACCCACTGGGCTGGGATGGCTCGCTCACTCCACTGTGGCCACAGGGCCCCTCCTGCCCCAGCACACGTGGCCACAGGGCTGCACAGCTGACAAACTCTTGCCTGTCTCTCTCTTCACTCCCCATGGCCACCCTGGGAGGAAGCTACTGTTATAAACCCCACTAGACAGATGGGGAAACTGAGGCTGGGAAAACATTAAAGAGCAGATACTGGTCACGCACCAGGCGCGAGGCCTGGGACATCCCAGCCTCACTGTTTCCTGTGGCTCCCATGTCCCTGAGAAGCAGGTGTCTCTGTCCTTTCCACACACGGGGTGCAGTGGATGGGTACGGTGACATTTAGGGACCCTGGGGGCCTCACAAAGACTGAGGACCATGGGCAGCTGAGCACTTGCTGTGCACTGGGCAAAGGGCTCGGCTGCATTTGACCCTCCCTTTGGCCTTCCACAGCGGGAAGGTCACTACACATTTACACACGGGGGACGGAGACTGCAGGGTGGCACAACTCACTGGTGCTGATGAAAATGGCCAGTTAGTATATGTTCTCCCCCTTTGGCCCCTACTGGCTAAGCACTGCATCAATACTACATGGGTCCCTGCACGTACTGTCCCAGGGCGGGCGTCCACGAGCTCCAGAGGAGGGTGAGACCCACCCACCCCACTCTGTGGCCATCTCCCAGAGCTGCCCCTTTCCACCTTCTCCAGGCCTATTGGGCACCATGGAAGAAGTCAGCAAGACAGACAGTCCCAGTGACATCTCAGTGGTGCACGAAGACGGCACCCTGGGCCTGCCTGAGCACAAGGCCATCTCAGTCCTCCTGGTGCTTCTGGTGTGCACTGTGGCATCGTGGGCAGGCTATGGTGGTTCTGGTGGTGGTGACCACACGGGACATGCATACACTTACCAACTGCTACCTGGTCGGCCTGGCCCTGGCCGACCTCATCGTGCTGATGGCTGCGGGGCTGCCCAACATCTCAGAGAGCTTGGCCGGGCAGTGGGGATACGGGCATGCTGGCTGCCTGGGCATCACCCACTTCCAGTATCTGGGCATCAATGTGTCTTCCTGCTCCATCCGGGCATTCACTGTGGAGAGGGAGGTGTCCCAGAGGATGGGTTCCATCATATTCCTCACAGGGAAGCCAGGGAGCTTGACCTCAGCAGGGATCCTTGGTAAACTGAGGCTTGGTTGAGCAGGAAGTTTTGTTCTCTTTACTGAGTAGGTGTGGCCATGGAACCTAGTCGGAGCCAGCACTGGGGCAGGCATCAAGAAGGGATTGCTATGGGAAGAAGCTTGCTACGGGAAGAAATCAAGAAAAGTCCTGCATGTCTCAGAATCAGGTTTTCCCCTCGGAAAGTGGGCGCCTGGACCAGCCTCCCTGAGAGTGTAGGGACTGGTGGCCAAGCAAATGGATCCGTAGCCTGAAGCTGGGATCAAACTTAGCTTCACCACTTGCACGAGCTGTGTGGCTTTGGGCAGCTTGGCGTGGGGGCTAAGTGACTTGTCAGGGCCACACAGGATTGGGACAGAGCCCAGGCCTGCTGCATCCAAATCCTGGCCCTGCTCTTGAATCCTTGTCCATGCAGCCTTGGGGCCCAGTGGGGTCCACACAAAGCAATTGTGCCCAGGGTCCTAGGCATCTGGGGGACCAGGGGTCTAGTTAGGAAGCCTGGCCTGTGAGGGGCAGAAAGTGTCTTCCCTGCCTTTGGTAGAGGTCAGCAGAAAACCCATTGAGACCCACAGGAGCGTCAAAGGGGCCCATAGGTCAGGTAATCTAGGGACTGCTCTCTGCCGTTCTCTCCTCCCTACCAAGACTGCCAGCTTTGTTCTTCCTGGCCACTGGACACCTCGCTTTACCCCCAAAACCCCCCGCGCCCCAGACTTCCAATTCTCCTGCAAAGAATGGGCTCAACCACTGCTGACTCTAATTGGCCAAGCTTGGGACAGGCCATCCCTGCATGGTCCAATCAGAGATGAGATAGGCAGGTCCCTTGGCCTCTGGCCCCTGGGCCAATGTGGCCTGCCTGTGGCCCACAGGTACATTGCTATCTGCCACCCCATGCAGGCACAGACCATATGCACTGTGGCCCGGGCCAAGCGGATCATCTCAGGTATCTGGGGTGTCACAGCCGTCTACTGCCTGCTCTGGTTCTTCTTGGTGGACCTGAACATCCAAGAGAACCGGCGCCTGGAGTGTGGCTACAAGGTGTCCCGCAGCCTCTACCTACCCATCTACCTGCTGGACTTCACTGTTTTCTTCGTTACACCCCTGCTGGTGGCCATTGTGCTCTATGGGCTCATCGGGAGGATCTTGTTCCAGAGTCCACTGCCCCGTGAAGCCTGGCGGGAGGCAGGAGCTGAGGAGAGGCAGCCCTGCAGCCAGGGTAGGAGTGAGCCAGGTGGCTGTGGGAAGCCCAGAGGCCCTCCAGGAAGCAGGTCGGGGGACCACCTGGAGCTGGGTGGGGTGGCAGGAGGGGAGGAGGGAGGGCAAGAGTGTAAATGCACCCAGAGGGCAACAGAGGGCAGACAACGCTCAGCAGTCACTAGATCCCTGTCTCCCTCCCTCCCTCTCTCCCTCCATCCCCCATCCAAAACCAACCACTCATTCATCCATCCATCCATCCATCCATCCCCCATCCAACCACCCAACCACCCATCCATCCATCCATCCATCCATCCCTCATCCATTCACCCATCCCCCAGCCAACCACTAAGCACCCATTCATCCATCCATCCATCCATCTCCCATCCACCCATCTACCCATCCAACCACCCATCCATCCATCCATCCATCCATTCATCCATCCATCCATCCATCCATCCATCCCTCATCCATTCATCCATCACCCAGCCAACCACCAACCACCCATTCATCCATCAATCCATCCATCCCCCATCCAACCACTCATTCATCCATCCATCCATCCATCCAACCACCCATCCATCCATCCATCCATTCATCCCTCACCCATTCAGCCATCCCCCAGCCAACCACCAACCACCCACTCACCCATCCATCCATCCATCCATCCCCCATCCAACCACCCATCCATCCATCCATCTATCCATTCATCCATCCATCCACCAAACATCTGCCAGGCAACTCTCTGTGGCACAGTGGAGATCTTGGCATGTTAGTCACCCACTCTCCTGGAGTTACAGCAGGTGGAAACACTGAGAGACCAAGTGAGCACACAGTCTAAGGAAAGGAAAGACGGAAATAAGAAACCAATGAGGCCGGGGCAGCAGGCGTTAGAAGACGAGGTCTTGGGAGGCCTTGCTGACAGGTGACTGTGGTTAAAGCTCTGAAGTTGGCAAGGGACTACACCAAGCAGGAGGCTGGACAGCGCCCCAGTGGGGAGGAATGGCTAAGGCAAAGGCCAGGGCCAGAGCCAGCCAACACTGGGAGCTCTGAGCTAACATACAGAACCTTCCTGAGCTGTCTGCAGGACCCCATAGGGAGACACAGATGGAGCCAGAGACAGGTGTGTAGCCACCAATGGCTCTCAGACTGAGGCAAGGGAGAGCTGAGCAGAGAGGGCACCTTGAGAGATCAGGAGATGGGAGCATACAGGGAGGGAAAGAGAAGGGTGGGTAGCTGGAAATGAGGTGGGGGTACTGCAAAGCCCCAGCAGGGATCCTGTCTGGGGGTAGGGGCTTTGAGACGGGATTATCTTTCTGGGCTAGGAGTTCACAACCAAGATGAAAGATACAGGGTAGGGGTTGGGGGCTCCTATGAAAGGGGCATGGCTGTGGCTGGAAGACACGCAGACCGAGGGCTCCCACTGTGGGACTAGAGTGTACAGCAGCCACAGTGTCCATCTAGGCCAATGGGACAGACTTGAGTCACTGAGCTGCAGGCATCCAGTAGTCACCGGCTGGGAATTTGGAGTTGGAGTTGGAGTTGATGGGCAGGTGGGTGGGGGGGGGGGTGGTCCATGAGTCTGTCACATGGCACAGCTCTGAGTGCTGCCCCCTGGCTGATGGTTTAGGTGCTGCACATGTGGTGATGGTGACCCTGTTGTTGGCCTTACCACCGGCTGCTCAGAGAGTGCTTCTTGCAGCTGTGCCCACCTCCTTCTTAGGCCACCAGGATGCTGGCTGTGGTCGTGCTGCTCTTTGCTGTGCTGTGGATGCCCAACTGCACACTGGTGCTGCTGAACTCCTCCAGGAGAGGCCCAGCCTCTCCTGGATCCCTGGGTCCTGCTTTTCTGCCGCACCTGTGTCTACACCAACAGTGCCATCAACCCCATCATCTATAACCTCATGTCCCAGAAATTCCGGGCGGCTTTCCAGGAGCTGTGCAGGTGCGGGATGGTGGAATCACAGAGGCGCTCAGCATGCCTCATCACCAGCAGCTGCGGCATGGCCCGTGAGACACTGCTGGGAACCAAGAAGACACAGTCTGGCTCCAGCGAGACCTCTGACCTTCCTGCAGCGGGGTCAACCCCTCACCAGCAGGAGCCCGTTTTCAGCATGGTCTGAGGACTGCCCAGCACCCCATCTCCACTCTGAATTTACTCACCTGCTTGCTGAGCTTGCCATGTCTGCTCTGTGTGCTGGTGGCTGCCAGGAGAGGGGCAGATGTCCCCCTTCTGGTCCTCCGGCATCACTTTCCCATGAACTAGGACACTGGGGTAACCCTGGCTAGGTGCTGGAGTTCAAGGCAGGACCCCACTTGTTTGCTCTCTCCTTCTCTGGAGTGGGTGAGGTAGGAAACAGGAAGAGAGAGCTGGGAGGAGCCCAGTCTGCACCTGCGTAAAGTCACGACCTGCCATCCATTCTCCCTTAGTACTTTAAACGTCCTTTCACGGGGCATGTCCTGATGGGTATGAAGGAAGCTTCCACTCGTCGGTTGCATGCTGCTGACAGCAGGGTACAGATGTGTCTGATACCTGCCCACTCAAGCCCACTTTCCTGGTCCCGTGATTCTCTCCAGTACCACTAAGCGCTGTCTCTGCCCCTCCCCATGACTTGTCTTCATGCGCCTGCCACTAGTGTCACCCCACCTAGGTAGAAGCAGTGTCCTGCACATCATCATAATAGCATTCTGGTTGTCTCAAAGTCTGAGCAGAGCCAGGTGGGGTGGTGGCTCACGCCTATAATCCTAGCTATTTGGGAAGTAAATATTGGGAGGATCATGGTTCAAGGCCAGCCCTGGGGAAAAAGTTAGCAAGGCCCCATCTCAACTAATAAACTGGGCATGGTGTATGTGCCTGTCATCCCATCTATGCTGGAGACTTAAGTAGGAGGATCTTGGTCAGAGGCCAGCCCTGGCAAAAAGCTCGAGACCCTATCTGAAAAAATAAATACAGCAAAAAAAAAAAGCTGGTGGAATATCGGACAGGTCTGTGGACGCCTGCTGAAGAGGGACCCACCCAGCTGGACAGCTGTGGAGAAACAGCTGTGGGTGGTTCCCTGAGCTTTGCATGAAAACATGGAGCACACTGTGCTTCAGGACAGCCAGTGCCCCACAGCTCTAGGGGAGGCCCTAGCTTTACCTGGAGTTTACTCAGCTCTGATAGCCATTTGGAAAAGCTACATCATTGGACCCAGCCCTTGGGGGGTTTTTCCCCTCTAGTCAACACACCTGGAGTGTCACCTTCTTGTGGAGCCTGTGGCAACACGCAGCTCTGGGGGGACCCCCCCCCGACACGCCATGCCATCTCCGCAAGACTGTTGTAGTTTAACTTTGTGTCCAGTCGTTGACTCGTGTGGCTTCTCTGTCATGAAGCAGATGTCTGAGGGCCCCAGCCACTCTGCTGTAGGTTATGGATTCTCTTCTCCTTTGCTGCAACCCTGTAAAGTTGCTGGCCAGTGCTGTCCAGGCATAGGGAGTCTCGCGCTGGGTCATCTCCCCTGGGCTGGTGGCCTCAGCAAGCGTTCTTCCTTGGAGCTCCAATGCAGTGGGAAAAAGACCAGCAGCGCCAGCTCTGCTGGAACTTCCTATGGCCTAGACTGAGTCTGCTTTACATTCATGGCAAGGGCTGGTTCCTGGGGGACGGAGAGGCAGCGAGGTTCCTTGAATTGAAGGGATTGCACAGAAAGCAGGGGAAAGCAGCCTGCTTCAGACTGCCTAATGATATGCAGATATATGCAGATATGCAATGTGAAACCTTTTTTGCATATCCCTGGATTGCTCAGGGATGCCCTTATGCATGGTCTCCACAGAGGCAGAGAGCTGTGGATGGATGCCTGTTCTGAGCTCAGGTTCTAGAACCATCTTGGGTCATGGTGCCTGGTGTCATCCTGCCCTTCCAGTGGCAGACACCACTAGTCTCTCTCCCACTGAGACCCAGGCAGCTCCAGGATCCTCCACTGCCCGGTGCACCCACCCTGTGACTGGTCACTCAGGGTCACTCATCTTATGAAGGCTGCCAGTTACCCTGGACATGCTGCTCTCTCCCATGTCAGGATGGTCCTTCCTTCACCAGCCCTGTGCAGCCACTTGCTCAGTGTCTCCCCCTGGTCCTGACGTGGAGGTTGGGGACCACAGGCATCCTGTTGACCTCTGAGCAATCTGTACAAAGTGGCTTTGGGAAGCAGGAAGGGGACAGGCTGCTCCCACCTCAGCAGTGCACAAATGCTCTGTCCACCCGAGTGCAGAGGTCTTGGTTTTATCAGGTAACATGGTAGCACACCATCAGACTGGTGTAAGTGGACAGAACTGATGACTGTGCAGGACTCTCTGAGGCAACTGGCTCCATGCCCTAGGCCAAGGTGAGCGATCAGGGAGCTGCTTGGTACCCCGGGGGGGAGTAGCGCCTCCTTCATGGACCCAAGGAACCTGGGTAGAGAGACAAAGCCTGGGGATGTGACTCTTTAACTAGCCTGTGCACACCAGGGATGGACTGTGCCACTCAGTACCTGGAGTGGGGGTGGGGAAAAGAGAAAAATGAGGTGTTACTCCCAGAGAGGACATGATGGCTGCTGGGCAGGTCAGGTGACAGGTCTGTGACAGCTCTGAGTCTCTGAGAAACTCCCTGGCTCTGAGTGGAGGGCTCAGACGGACAGCAGAAACCTGGTGTGGCCAGGGGTTCCCCCAGGTAATGGAAGGGGCTCTCCCAGGCCTGAGAGGGCCACGCTGCCTCTCTGAGCCTGGCTCTTCTTTCCTACGCGAGAAATCTGGCCCGACGGGCCTTTAAGCTGTAGTGTCCCAGCTACACGGGGCTCTACACAGTGGGTTGTCACAGAGTGGGCACGAGGGAGGGCTACTCAGGTGGCTTTGGGCCAGCAGAGGGGCTACATGAAGTGAATTTCCTGAGGAGCCCAAAGAATGACTTCTTGCCAAGTGATTGAGTTCTATTTGGGGTCTCTTACAGATCTGGGGTGTGACTCACCCCTTGGTTCCATTTGTCTTTTATCTGCAAGTGGCAAGCAGGGAAGTGGTGATTAACGATGGCTCCCGGAGGGGAGTTGTCTGTAGCAACCGCACCCTTGTTCGCTCCAGGGAGGATGTTAACGGTCCGCGTTCCTCATTCCATCTGTTTGATGTATGGTTTGTTTGTTTTTGTCTCTGGGCAGTCATCCTGGCAGCTCCTGCTCCAAAATGGTTATCAAATCCAGACGGCCAGTGTTTCCACTGGAGGCCACTTCCTGTACAGGCTCCCGGGTCCCAGGTCCTAGGAAAGTGTCCTGGGGGGCTAGGAGGGAGCTGTGAGAGAGGCTGGGGGGCAGAAAGGAGACTGCTGGGCCATTGTGGGGTCCACGGTACTCAAGAGTTGCAAAGCTCCCTTATGGGATTTGGAGGTTCGCTGTCCTGTTAGGTATAGAAAGGGAAGGGCCAGGGGCACCTGGAGAAGGGCAAGAGCTGGGGGCCACTGGGGACCACTGGGGCCTGGCATCAGCTCTGCCCAGTGGCCTGTGGGTCCTAGCACCAAACTGACACCCAGGGAGGTCCAGCTGCTTCTTTGGTGACACAGGGCTTACCTTTTGCTTAATCTAACAGTTCTCAAAATGTGCCCACGGGTACCTGGAGGTTGGGGGGTGTCAGAACCATCATGGTAACACCAGGAAAAGAGCGATAGTCCCACTGTTCTAGGGCAGGGAAGATGGGAGCCCAGCTCCCGAAAAGAGAGGATTCTTTCACTCCACCCTTTTGGCCTCCGCTGTGAATGGGGCTCCCATGACCACCCCCTCCCTTCAGTAACGCTACACTGGCCTTCCTGGCACCCTCAGCCCTGGCATAAAATTAACCATCACAGTTATAGCAAGTCTCACCTCTAGACGTCTTTTTACTGCTTTTTGTGATGAAATCGTGTCTCTGGAGCCCCTCTGGGCACTGAAGCCCCTGGGCTCAGGAAAGCAGCTGCTCGAGGTCTGACTGTGCTGCCCAGCTGCACTCCCCATGGAGCCCCAAGTTCAACACACTACAGACAGATGGGCTGTGGCCAGGCCAACTTGGGCACTTGGCAGGAAGGACATGGCCACTTTGAGGGGGACAGGGGACAGTCACTGTTGGCAGAGTTAAAGCCACGCTCCCATGTGCTAAGGGACTTTTGGAAACTATGTCTGCCGTGGTGGGTGCTGGGACTTCCCCACATGGAGCACGAGGGGTGCTGCATGCTGGGGTTTGGTGACCCCTTTGGAAGTCTCGTGTGACTGGGTAAACTCGCCTTCTCCAGATGACACAGGACTGGGTGCTCTGAATCACACCATTCAGAGTGCAAAATCGAGCCATGGGTTTTCCTGTACAGAGGGAAGCTCAGCCGTGCTTCCACGCGGTTCCCATCACAATCCCCTTGCCTGGCTTTGCTGTGCTGTCAGGGAGCAGCCTCAGCCCACTGCAAAGGCCGTCAACATGTTTGGATTTTCTTTGTCTACTTCAATAAAAATAATAAATTGCAATGGAATGAAATTGCAATGGAACAGAGATGAAAACTCTGCTATCTTCTATGAAGCTAGACACTAAACAGATTAAAAACAAAGGCCAGGCACAGTCACATGCCATAATTCCAGCCACTCAGGAGGCAGACATCTAGAGGATCTTGGTTTGAAGCCAGCCTGGGCAAAATGGTTGTGAAACACCATCTCAACCAATAAGCTGGGTGTGGTGGTGACATCTGTCATCAAAGCTACTTGAGAAACTGAGACTGGGAAGATTGCTGTCCAATTCAGCCGAGGCAAAAATGTGAGACCTGCCAGATGCCAGTGGCTCATGCCTGTAATTCTAGCTCCTTGGGAGGCTGAGATTGGGAGGATAGTGATTCGAGACCAAATTGGGAAAATAGTTTGTGAGACAACCCCTATTTCCAAAACAAGCAAAGCAAAAATGGACTGGAGGTGTGGCTCAAGTGGTAAAGCACCTGCTTTGCAAGCACAAATCCCTGAATTCAAAGCAAAAAAACAGAATTTTCTTTTTATTTGTGAAACTACTACTTTTGTAAAAACGTTTTTCTGTTAACATGTAATGGATCCATTCTTGCTTTGGTTTGTTTGTTTGTTTGTTTTTTCTCAGCATCATCCAAAGGGAAAAAGAGAAATCA